GTGTGTGTGTGTGTGCGTGTGTGTGTGCACGCGCGCTTATGTGTGAGCGCATGATGTATGCGTGTGTGTTTGTGTGAGGGTGTACAGCCATTTGTATGTACATAGGAGTGTGCATGTAGGTGTACCCATAGGTATACTTGCAGTGTGAACTTCTTGGTGTACATGTAGAAGTAGGAGTATGAATGTGTGTGAATGTGCATAAGCATGTGCAAATGTGCCGAGAATTCAATGATAATAATAACTAAAATAATAATAATAGTAACAACAACAATAACAATAATAATAATAATAACAACTTGACTTTGAATAAGACTCACAGTGCATCAATATAAATCATGTATATACAATTACATTTGGTCTCAAACCTAATAAATTCTTTAATACTAATTCTGGGTAATAATCAATCAGGACTAAGTTATCTTTAAAAATCAACACAGACTACATAAAACCCCACTCTGAAAAAAAACAAACACTACAGGTATAAATATATATAAAAAAAGTTTCACTGTTGTCTAAAATTGGGGATTAAGTTTAAATTCATCCCCAGTCCAATATTCATCATCTGCTGAATTTTATTAATCAAGGAGTGTTAATTTCAAAAATCTGTCAAAGGGAAGTATAGCACACACCTAGTAAAATAATCCTAAATTGAATTTAAAAAAAAAAAAAATCATTATTGCTTGCACCATCAAAGTAAGTTTTTGGCATTGTTATTTGGGTTAATTCAAACAAAGACTCTAAACAATTCTCAGGACTCTATGACTACTGTAATTTGTAGTTTTTACTTACTAAGGTAAACTGTCCATATACATGTAAGGCAAAAGAAAGGATAATTCAAATGTGTATGTGCATGTATTAACATACACATGTGTGCGTGTATGAATATCTATATATAAATATACATACATATATATAAACACACTACATATACATACATATATACACACATATATGTATGTAAAGAGAATTGCAAATGTTAAATTCTGCAGTGTTAAAGACAATGCATCTTCTGAATTCACAGCTTAAATGACAAAATCCTTAATCTATATTAATCTACAAACACTAAAAAGACTGTGGGGAAGCTTGTCCTTCCTCGTCCCAGAGTAACGCATCATCAAAATCAGTAATGATAAACTAGTCGTCTCATGCTGTTCGAAAATAATCTACACAAACACTACTCCAGTACCGCATGCAACGTGACCCTCCGACCACAAACTCCCTAATGCTAACTGACTGTCCTGGAGTCATTTACACAAGGGTCACAAACAAATGGATTACCGTACCTGCCATGGAAGAAATGAAAGGTTCTAGGACAGAGAAGGAGTTAGTGCGATTGAGACGATGAGGGAAAGCACGTTGTCGTTTAAAGGGTGGTACGTTGGCACTACTTCCTGCTACCACGCCATGCATACCAGTACCACCTCCACCAGACCCAAGAGGCACCACACCAGTGAAACCCACTTTCAGTATCTTAAGCCCTAGGCAAAAGAGGACAGCATTACGTCAGATGTACAGCTGGGTTGATTTTGGAGAGGGAGAGGGAGAGAGAGAGAGAGAGAGAGAGAGAGAGAGAGAGAGAGAGAGAGAGAGAGAGAGAGAGAGAGAGAGAGAGAGAGAGAGAGAGGAGGGAGGGAGAGAGGGAGAGAGGGAGAGAGGGAGAGGAGAGAGAGAGAGAGAGAGAGAGAGAGAGAGAGAGAGAGAGAGAGAGAGAGAGAGAGAGAGAGAGAGAGAGAGAGAGAGAGAGAGAGAGAGAAATTGAAACAAAAAGAAAAAGTAAGAAAGATAAAGAGAAGAGAATGAGATAGACAAACAAGACAGACACACAATCACATATAGATAGAGGGACAGAGACATAGACAGACAGTTAGAGAGAGACAGACACAGACACAGGGAAACAAAGACAGAGAAGAAAAAGGACTAAGAAAAAGGAGAGGAAAGAAACAGGATAAGGGCAACTTATTCTTTTAATCCACACTATATCACACATCAGTTAGACCTATTGCCTTTTGCTAAAATACCTGCTGTCCTGAACTCCATGTATTCACGAATCTCTTAATGCCCTGTAAATGACTTTGCCGAGTTCAAAACCTCCCTATTTCATGGCATCAGAGTCTACTAATCTCTATTCAAATCTCCCAAATATTCATACTCCCAACCCAGCAATGACGATGCCTCATATTACAGAGCATCTTAAAATTCTCACCTAATTTACCTGAAGCAGGTCATATCTATAATAAAATTGGTATTCCTGGCTTTCTTAGACAACAAATATGTTAGGAAACACTTATCCCACATTGCCACATACAATAAAATCTAACAAATTCTTCGAAAGGCACTAATATGCAGCGTCAACTTCTTGAAAAATGTCAAATTACAAAATTTTCTCTAATTTTATTGGCCTTTCCTAAAGACATGTTTACAATGACATAAACAAAATTTCAAAATCATACCTAATCCAGGATCTCTTCCTCTTAATAGTTAAAACAAATAAAGTACAATCAAACCCTCATTTTATTTATCTATCTTTTTCAATGTGGCCCCAAAGGATGAGAAAGGAACAGCTAGACAGACAAGAAACAGATGGGAGGCAATTCAGTAGACACTTAAATATATCTCATAAAACATTATTTCACGAATTCCTGTAAATAATATTAAGTACATTTCATAACAATTCAATAGATTCTTAAATGTTATATTTGTCCTTTTCCCTGATTCCTACAGAATATTCTGTTTGACTTACATTTTATCCCATGCCAAGAATAAATTAATCTCAATGACATAAGAAACTTTTTTCTACCTTCTGATGTAAAGAGTCTTTTAAGTAATGGATTCCTGATCATCTGAATAGTACTCGGGTGCCTTAGCCCACTGAGCCATGGAGCATATACGATAACTATTTTGACTCTCCAAGATGATAAACAACCTTAATACCAGCCATGAATTAAAATAACATCACACCTAAACCCTAAACTATGACAAAGTATAACCTAAAGCACTATCATTGCTCTTTTAAACTGTATGCTCTTCAAATAGCCTTGGTTATATAAGCACTCACTGTATACCCTCTTGGGTCAAGGTTTCAAGTTATTTATAAGCACAACTGACTCTAATAAGAAGCCAAAAGAAAAAAAAAAAAATTCAGACTAAGCTATAGAAAATTATTCTGGCTTTATTCTTCTACCTGGATGGAGCTGCTGCGAGGGTGCTGATCCCCTCCGTCTTGACAGGTACCACTGGTCAGGCCTTTCTGCTCCCCCTCTCAGCCCCCCCATCAGTTCCTCTGGCTGGAGAAGCGGGGCTGATCCACGACGACCATGGGCAAACATGCATCCCTGTGTGGGCAGGGACTAGGGCATTACAGGAGCGTCTCGTATGGCACTGTATGTCATAGGATGGGAAACGTAGGCAGTCTTAGGGTAGAGCAAGGAGCCAAATGCCAAAGTAAGAACTTATTCATCTTATCATTCCGAGAAATATTAGCAGAAAATAAGCAGAGTGCCGGTGTTATAAGATAATATAAGTGGATATAGAGAAACTATGGTCGATATTGCTATCAGAACAAAATCAATTGAATATCACACAATTACATATTTGACAAGCTGTACATATACCTAAAAGCTTTATGCAGTAAATAAAAGTACATTTTACAGAGTAAATATTTTACATATCTCCCTCTCCTGCCAAAATGTATTTAACAAAAGAATATATAACCCATTGTTATTCTGTCTTCATGGGATCTAAACTACAAATCTGCACATTATATAAAAAAACTAAAAACCCAAGAGGATAAACAAATGAAGGAAATAACATATGAAGGCCCTTTAAAAATACTGTTTACTAATTATATATGTATATTCAAACAAACAAACCAAAAATGCAAATTACCAAACTCGAGCAATGTTTTACAATCATCAAATAATATGCTAATAAGTAACAATTACAGAAATCATTACTTTCCCATAGTGACTTAAATGACAAAAAGAGAGAAAAAAAGAAAGAAATCCCTTAGTGATAGTGGCCATGCAGTAATTAATCTGGACATCTCTGTTTTTCTCTTGGCAATAATCTGTATGTGGCAATTATTGTCAATTTTTCTCCAGCTGGCATTAGATGTTGACAACTGATACAATGACCTTACAGATATTCATTCCTCATTAACATATACAATTCATATTCCGCTTTTCATGACCACTTCCAATAAGTTAGGTGACTAAATCACTAGCTACTCGTCAGAAATTACTGTAAAGTATATAAATAAATCTTTAACACTGATAAACAACTTGCCGTGAACTGTTAAAATTGATATATAAATTCTAACTCTGTGGATGTTTAGAATTCAGTCTTCTCTAATGTGTATTTATTCAAATCACCTAAACAATTTTGTATCGTATGTAAAGTGTAGACATAAATTGAGGATTGATATGTATGTATGTATATATATATATAAAAGCAAAATAACTGAATTTCTTTCCTCTTTTTCTTTTAACAATATCTTGGAATTTGCCTCCTTTAATGTGCCAGCAGATTATGGCAGATTACTAATGCAAGAGATCTGTAAAACAAACGTGAGAGGAAAAAAATCATGCTGTAATTCAGCCTGTCAACAATCACGCAACTTCTCTATACCTGAGTTTGATTGAGCTTGTATATGCCTGGCTTTAACATTTTCTCTCTGGGATCGCAGGCATTTTCGTCCTCATAATTAAGGCTCCTCCAAGCACGCGTCTTCCACAATGGCACCGCTCTCTCTCTATGTGCAGACACGTCTCTCGGAACCTGGTTCTCCTTGTCTTTTTCCAGGTCTGAGTGGTCAACACGAGCAAACTTGCTGCTCTCGTATGTCAGGCGATCCAAAAACTCCCTTTTGCTGCTAACACTTGTACTGTCTAGCGAGGCTCTTCGCACTAGCACCTTACCACCACGACTCCGGAAGTGAACACTGTCTGAGCAGTCAGAATGAAGGAATGTAGCACCTTGAGAACTCTGAATATTCTTTCTATTGTGAACACTATATTCCCGACCCGAAGTGGAAGCGTTACGAGTTGTTGACTCAAATGACCGATCTGGTAAATCATGAGAATCACTATTACTATGACTTCCTTTCGAATCTTTACTCTCAACATTACCACTTCCTCCTCCTCCTCCTCCTCCTCCACTTTGATCACCACCACTACATTGTCCAGTTGTTTGTGTTCTTAGGCTGTCGTCTGTTCTCTTAGATGAACTATCCTCATCAGGATTCTGTTGAGTTGTTGAGTCCTCGCTTGGTGTGGGGGACAGAGGCTGCAGAGGAGGCCCATGTCTCCCCACACTATGTGACCACACAGGAGGCAGTGACATTCGGCGTGCCAGCCGCAAGGAATGGCGAGGATGACTCGTGCCCACACCCCCCATGGTTGTGATCGAGGGGTCTGGTAGAAGGGCATCCGTGGTTAGCGTGGTATTATTGTCAGTCGTATGGGATGTGAGGGACGTCATTGACATGCCTCCCATAACCACTGTCTCCACAACCAGGGGCTGGCCATCCGCTTCAGGCAGGCTCTCTCGCCGGATAACCGTACGAGGAACCAGACGTGGTACATTGAGTGGTACCGAGTGCCTCCGGCCAAGGTGGAGGGATCTCGATACGTTTTCCAGGGATCCCAACACAGACTGGTGGCTGTCGGCACTGCTACTGGGAGTGGTGCCTCCCTCCCCTTCAAGCTCTTCCTCGTCTTCAATTGGAAGCTGAGGAGACTCAGAAGGTGCTATGGACGTCTCGGTTACAGTCTCCTCCGCTACTTCCTGTGCCAGCTGCTCCTCCCAGTGCCCTAGATTCTCATTCATGTTGCTGACCATTGAGGCGGAGAGCCCTGTACTCAGCCATCGATCCCAAGCGTCAAACAACGGGGACACCACATACTTGATGAATCCTGAAAAAAAAAGTTGTTAATATAAGAAAATTCAGAGTTACTGACTTAGTTTAAATAATTCTATTAGCATGATGTAATTACCATCTCAAATATCTGGAAGATTACCTTCCACTTCTGAGTCTAGAAGAATACTTAATGTACCACTGCAAAATATCTACAAGAGGAAGAACAATTACCTAAAAATAAATAAATAAATAACAAGACCAGTATCATGCTTCGTGCAAGAAAAAATACAGAAAACATACCTGTTTGAATTTTGGCAACAGACATCACAGACCGGTCACACAGAGGAGTGACTGGCAGATTCAGCTGTCGCTCATAATCTCCCTGTCTGTAAAACTCATCACAAATCTGTAAAAGGAGCAATAGAAGAGTGACAAATTTATCTTACTCACCCAAAAGAAAAAAAAAAAAGTGTTAATATATCAATTACTATTACTATTGTCTTTTATCGAACCAGAAATCTAGTACAACTGAGAAGAGAGAGAAAAGGCAAAGAAAATACAGTATGATAATGATGACGACTTTGCCTCTTGAAATACACCAACCTTGTGTGACCACTTCTGAGATACATCCCAGGGCCGGCAAGGGTTGCAAATGTCTGCACACTTGAGGGCAATTTGCAGTGAAAAGTGGCGGTGGTCAGCATTCTTCATGTCTAGGCTACTGGCATCTAAGTACCGCTGTGTAATGAAGGATTATGTATTTTTATGTTGTAACTATTCATATCTATATCTATATATATATCTACCTATCTATCTATCAATCTATCAAGAGATACATAAATATATACTTACGAATAAATATATGAATACATAAATACAAAAATATCTATATATATTTGTTTATCTATAATTCTACTTACATTATACTGCTTTATATTATATTGTATCAAATCATTTTGTATTATACGATACATACTGACTGACAGATTGATAGACTGACAGATAAAGGTATATGCAGAAAGTTCTGTTTATCAGCATTTACCAAAAGTAATTGAGTACAAGATTAAAATTAATACTCACAAGCTCAATATGCTACACAGGTATTTAAACTGACATCTAAAAGTGAAAGCTTCAATATGTATAATAATAAAAATAGTTATAGTAATAACAACATTAATAACAATAGTAGCAGTAGCAGTAATAGTAACAGTAATAATAATAGTAACAGCAGTAAATAAATAAATAATAATAATAATAATAATAATGATCATAAGCATAATAATGATAATGATATCAGCAATAATAGCAAACAGGACTAAAAATACCTGTACGTAAAAGCAGCATTAAAATGACAAACAGATTTTACCCGAAACCGTGACAGGAACTCTTGCTGGCGAGTGATGTCTGTTGCAAGGATAAGGGACCTGATCATGTCCTGCAATGTTGCAACATCATCCGGATCCCAATCATCGAGCAAACCCGACTCCCAGAGACAGCCCATAGCACATCGCCAGTGATGGTTTTCCAGCACACTAAGGTTCTGTGTCAAAGAGTAAATCAATATGCGAGTTACATGCCAAGAATTTCCTCTTACCAATGTTAGGGTAGACTTTATAAATGTCTTATTGACTTTGATGATTCCACAAGGCATCAAAAAGTTATCACAAAGTTATCAAAAAGTTATCACAAAGTTATCAAAAAGTTATCACAAAGTTATCAAAAAGTTATCACAAAGTTATCAAAAAGTTATCACAAAGTTATCAAAAAGTTATCACAAAGTTATCAAAAAGTTATCACAAAGTTATCAAAAAGTTATCACAAAGTTATCAAAAAGTTATCACAAAGTTATCACTCCCCGCACACCTTATAGAGGGCTGCCAGATGGTTATCGGTGGCAATGAGAAACGGCTGGTTGACCCCAGGGTGGTCCAAGTCGTGGCAGACGGCAGCTACGAGGGCGGCCAGCACTTCGATCGGCTTCATGTGCTCGCTGATCTAGATGGCCAAAAAAAAGGAAAAAAAAAAAAAAAGACCCAAATTCTAACCTCCCATAAAGTCCCAACGTGAACCTTAACACAAAGTTATCAAAAAGTTATCACAAAGTTATCAAAAAGTTATCACAAAGTTATCAAAAAGTTATCACAAAGTTATCAAAAAGTTATCACAAAGTTATCAAAAAGTTATCACAAAGTTATCAAAAAGTTATCACAAAGTTATCAAAAAGTTATCACAAAGTTATCAAAAAGTTATCACAAAGTTATCAAAAAGTTATCACAAAGTTATCAAAAAGTTATCACAAAGTTATCACAAAGTTATCAAAAAGTTATCACTCCCCGCACACCTTATAGAGGGCTGCCAGATGGTTATCGGTGGCAATGAGAAACGGCTGGTTGACCCCAGGGTGGTCCAAGTCGTGGCATACGGCAGCTACGAGGGCGGCCAGCACTTCGATCGGCTTCATGTGCTCGCTGATCTAGATGGCCAAAAAAAAGGAAAAAAAAAAAAAAAGACCCAAATTCTAACCTCCCATAAAGTCCCAACGTGAACCTTAACACAAAGTTATCAAAAAGTTATCACAAAGTTATCACTCCCCGCACACCTTATAGAGGGCTGCCAGATGGTTATCGGTGGCAATGAGAAACGGCTGGTTGACCCCAGGGTGGTCCAAGTCGTGGCAGACGGCAGCTACGAGGGCGGCCAGCACTTCGATCGGCTTCATGTGCTCGCTGATCTAGATGGCCAAAAAAAAGGAAAAAAAAAAAAAAACCAAATTCTAACCTCCCATAAAGTCCCAACGTGAACCTAAAAAAAAAAAAAAATCTATGAGCAGTGATATGGCCATACAGAGAGGAGAAATTCAGCAAGAAATCTTCAAGATTACATAAATGGGTTCTCACTGTACAAAACCCATTAAGGAAATTAACAGTATCCCTTCCAAAATAATATTCAATCCGAATGTTTAGATTCAAAAATTTTATTTATTTATTTTTTTATTTCTTATTTTGACCCCACCTCGCCTTCTGAGACTCCCCCCCCCACAGAATTACACAAAAAAGGAAGAAAAAAAAAGACCCAAAGTTCTAAACCCCCATAGAGTCCCAACATGAACCTTATCACAAAGTTATCAAAAAGTTATCACAAAGTTATCAAAAAGTTATCACAAAGTTATCAAAAAGTTATCACAAAGTTATCAAAAAGTTATCACAAAGTTATCACTCCCCGCACACCTTATAGAGGGCTGCCAGATGGTTATCGGTGGCAATGAGAAACGGCTGGTTGACCCCAGGGTGGTCCAAGTCGTGGCAGACGGCAGCTACGAGGGCGGCCAGCACTTCGATCGGCTTCATGTGCTCGCTGATCTAGATGGCCAAAAAAAAGGAAAAAAAAAAAAAAAAGAAAAAAAAGAAAAAAAAGAGAGAAAAAAAAAAAAAACCAAATTCTAACCTCCCATAAAGTCCCAACGTGAACCTAAAAAAAAAAAAAAACCAAATTCTAACCTCCCATAAAGTCCCAACGTGAACCTAAAAAAAAAAAAAAAAAAAAAAAAACCAAATTCTAACCTCCCATAAAGTCCCAACGTGAACCTTAACACAAAGTTATCAAAAAGTTATCACAAAGTTATCAAAAAGTTATCACAAAGTTATCAAAAAGTTATCACAAAGTTATCAAAAAGTTATCACAAAGTTATCAAAAAGTTATCACAAAGTTATCAAAAAGTTATCACAAAGTTATCAAAAAGTTATCACAAAGTTATCAAAAAGTTATCACAAAGTTATCAAAAAGTTAAAAAAAAAGAAAAAAAAAAGAGAGAAAAAAAAAAAAAAAACCAAATTCTAACCTCCCATAAAGTCCCAACGTGAACCTAAAAAAAAAAAAAGAAAAAAAAAGAAAAAAAAAAAAAAAAAGACCCAAATTCTAACCTCCCATAAAGTCCCAACGTGAACCTTAACACAAAGTTATCAAAAAGTTATCACAAAGTTATCACTCCCCGCACACCTTATAGAGGGCTGCCAGATGGTTATCGGTGGCAATGAGAAACGGCTGGTTGACCCCAGGGTGGTCCAAGTCGTGGCAGACGGCAGCTACGAGGGCGGCCAGCACTTCGATCGGCTTCATGTGCTCGCTGATCTAGATGGCCAAAAAAAAAGGAAAAAAAAGAAAGATGTGTTAGAATATGTGTATGGTGATTAAAAGCACGGGGAGGTTATTTAGAGTGAGTTTCTCTTTCTCTTTCTCATTCTTTTTCTCTTTCTCATTCTTTTTCTCTTTCTCATTCTCATTCCCTCTGTCCCTCTTTCTCTTTCTCTCAACCTGTTCCCCCTTCCCTCCAATTAATAGGCCAGTAAAAATATAACAATAACAATAACAAAAACAGATGAATATCCCTGAACTCATGTCTGCAAGCACAAAAGATTAAATGCGTGCTGCTGCCCCCAACTATATACACATGTAAAGATATACACACGTGTGTGTGTGTGTGTGTGATATACACATAAACACACACACACACACATACATTTAATATAATACAATGCATATTTAAAATAAATAAAAAAAAACAAATACAATACCAAACAAACCTTCCCTCCACAAATATTCAAAGACAAACCAACGCGCGCGCGCACACACACACACACACACACACACACACACACACACACACACACACACACACACACACACACAAATCTTATATGCAGGCTCTCTCCCTCGAAAGCCGGCAAGCAGACGGAAAGTGATCATGGTTCCTTACCTTTTCCTCCTGAAGATAACAGTGCATCGCCTGTGTCACGTCGGCCGCGTGGATTGCATTGTGGTAGGGATTGGAAGCGTGGTAACCATCTTCAATTAGACCTAAAAATAATTAGAATGTTATTAAGGCATCTGCATAGGAGTCAGTTTGCAGTTGGATATTTATGTATATATATATATATATATATATATATATATATATATATATATATATAATTTTTTTTTTTTTTTTTTACTTTTTTTCTTTTTTCGTTTTTTTTTTTGTCTATTCACCTGTTCATTTATCTATCTATCTATCTATTAATCAAACATTCACTCTATGTTTCTATGTGTGTGTATATATGTAACTGTCTATCTGTCTGTATACCTACCAATCAATGTATATTTCTCTCTTTATATATATATAAATACACATATGAAAATAATTTCTATATACATATCAAAGTATATATATTAGCGTATCGTTATTTTCTGCATAACGATACAGATTTAATCAAATTGTGGCAAATCACTTGAACTAATAAAAATAACATTCATAACGATCATATTCACAGTATTCATAGTAATAAGAACTACAGCTACAATTACAATAACAGTCAAATAATAATGATGATGATAATAATAATAATAACAAAACTAATGGTTATTATTATCATCATCATAATAACAATAACAATAACAATAAAAACAATAAAAATATCAAAACAATAATAGACATTGAAATAGAAACAGATATAGATATGGAAGTAGAAAATAACAGGAAAATGAAAATAAATAACAATAATAATAATAAAGATAACAATAACAATAATGTACATTGAAATAGAAACAAACAGAACTACGATAGAAAAAGAAAATACAATGAAGATGAAAATAAAGGGCAGCAATAATAATAAAAATAAAAATAACAATTTATAAATTGAAATAGAAACAAACAGAACTAAAATAGAAATAGAAAATGAGATCAAAATGAAAATAAAGGACAACAACAACAACAATAATAATAATAATGATAAAAAAAACAATAATAAAAATTGAAATTGAAACAAACAGAACTAAAGTGGAAATAGAAAATAAAATGAAAATGAAAAAAAGAACATGGCACTCACCAAAAAAAGAAAAAAAAAGAACATGGCACTCACTAAAAAAAGAAAAAAAAGAACATGGCACTCACTAAAAACCCCCCACAAAAAACGAGAACATGGCACTTAAAAAAATAAATAAAATAAAACAGAACATGGCACTAAAAAAAAAAAATAAATAAACGAGAACATGGCACTCACAAAAAAAAAAACATGGCACTAAAAAAAAATAGAATAAAAAAAACGAGAACATGGCCCTCACTAAAAAACACACACACAAAAAAAAACAACATGGCACTAAAAAAAAAAACGAGAACATGGGTCACTAAAAAAAAAAGGATATGGCACTAAAAAACAAACGAGAACGTGGCACTCACTGAAGCACTTCCAGACCGTGACCGTGTCCAGCTTGAAGTGCTGGATGAGGCCGTACTTGTGGAGGAGGTACACGCACAGCACGGACACGGGCCGCCCTCCGCACACGCTGTCCAGGGCGAAGGCGTTGAAGCCCCACACGCCCACTTGGGACAACACGCACTGCGAGGTGGGCGGGGCGTTAGTGGGCGGGGTGTTGGTTGGGGGGGGGGGGGCGTTATATGTACAGATATGGATATAAATATGTAGGCTTATTAATTACGTTCGCGGCTCCTTTTCGGCGAAATTCTCAAAAAAAAAAAAAAAATAAAAAAATCAGTCACATGAACATTTAAAAATAAAGGAACAACGACAGTGAGAGATCCGCCCCTGCGCTGGCCCGGGCGTGGGCGTACCTGCGTGGGCCCGTGGTACAGGTCGTCGAGCAGCGCGCGGTGCGGCTTCTCCATCTGCCTGGTGGGCGGCTTGCGGCGGCGCCGGCGGTGCAGCGTCAGGAACCTGCTGTAGGAGCCCGGCGCCGACCCCCCGCCGCCCGCCGCCCGGACAGCGCCGCGCAGGAGCCGGTCCTCCGCCTCGCTCCCGCTCCCGCCGCCGCCGCCGTAGCTGCTCTCGCGCCCGTCGTCGCCTCCGTCGGTGTCGCCGCCGCCGCTGCCGTCGCCCACGCTGCCCGCCGCCGCCGCCGACGCCAGCGAGGTCTCTACGGTGGCGCCGCTGCCGCCCTTCACGTCACCTGCGGAGGGAGGAGGGGCTTAGTCAGTGGAAAATGGGAGGAGGGAGGGAGGGAGAAGGGAGGGAGGAGGGAAGGATACAGAAGGGAGGGAGGGAGGGAGAGAGAAGGGAGGTAGGAAGGAGGGAGAGAGATGGGAGGGAGGGAGGGAGGAGGGAAGGATACAGAAGGGAGGGAGGAGGGAAGGATACAGAAGGGAGGGAGGGAGGGAGAGAGAAGGGAGGGGAGGGAGAAGGGAGGGAGGGAGGAGAAAGGGAGATGATGAAAAGACGAAGAGGAAGAGAACGAAAAGGATGAGGAGAAACCAGAGGAAGAGGAAGAAAAAAAAAATAAAGAAAAGGAAGAAAGTAAAAAGAGAGAGAGAGAAAAAAAACAAGAACAAGAAGAAAGAAAAAAAGAAGAAGAAATTAAAAGAACAAACACAAGATGAAGAAGAAAAAGAAAAAAGAAAATGAAGAGAAACTGAGGACTCCCCAATGCATAGGCCTACAATTCACACACGAGCTGTAGCGAAGATTGCTTAATAATTACAATTACCAAATCATTAACAATAACGTCCCTAATTATATATAACTATAATAATAGCCACATAATCATGACCAAAAAAGAAAAATGATCACAATAAATAAAGTCGCGACGGTAATTATACATAATTAAAACTGCGTAAGATCTTATTTACATTATAATTATAATAATTATTCCCGTATTTGGGTGAAGTGAAGTGTGCATAATCAACCGCATGCTTGGCTCTGTGTGTGTGTGTGTGTATGTGTATGTGTATGTGTGTGTGTGTGTGTGTGTGTGTGTGTGTGTGTGTGTGTGTGTGTGTGTGTGTGTGTGTGTGTGTGTGTGTGTGTGTGTGTGAATGAGAGAGTGAGAGAGTGAGAGAGTGAGAGAGAGAGAGAGAGAGAGAGAGAGAGAGAGAGAGAGAGAGAGAGAGAGAGAGAGAGAGAGAGAGAGAGTGTGTCACAGAGCGGCAGGTTAATGATAAATAAGTCAGACAAAGAGTATAATTTAAATGCAAATTTCATTCGCATAAGTAAACGAATGAATTTGAAACGTTACCTTGGCGCATCAATCAATAAACAGCTTGTCACTACCATACCTCCCCAAGAAAAAAAAATCTTCTACATTAGGTTAATAACCATTGCTTCTGATCCTGGAGTCCCGTAAATAGTTATAAACTACATAAACAAACTCTAATGAAAGTCCTTATGCGCCACTGTAAGTTAAATGCGTGATGAAATAAAGATGTTAAAGAGCCTATGCCAGTTAAAACACGTGGGAAAATGTGGTTTCAATAATTTTGAAAGAATAGTAATTTTTAAACGTCTCCAGATCTGCTTCTCTGTCAATGTCAGTCAGTCAGTCTCTCTCTTTTCCACTCCCCTTCCCAATCTCTAAATCTCTATCTGTCTCTTTCTTTCGTGGTCCTCCTTCCTTCCTTCCCTCCCTCTTCCCTTCCTTCCCACCCTCTCTTCTTCCTTCCTTCCTTCTCTCTTTCACTCCTTCCTTCTTCCTTCTCTCTTTCCCTCCTTCCTTCCTTCCCTCCCTCCCTCCTTCCTTCCCACCCTCTTTCCTTCCTTCCTTCCTTCTCTCTCTCCCTCCTTCCTTCCTTCCCTTTCTATTATTAATAACTATATATCGATTTTTTTTTTCTAGTAGTCCCACGTACCTCTTTTTTTTGCCCTAATATAGAGCATGGATTCTGGACAGTCTTCCTATCTCAGCCCAGTCTTTAGATAGCTTTCAGACATTCCAACTACCTACACTTTTCTGTCGATAGTCCCTGTATCTACACCTAGTCTTTAGATGGCCTCTGTCTCTTTTCAGTCGTCGAGGAGTCTTTACATTTAGTTTTTAGATAATTTCTGTATCTAATTTCCGTCTTACTATTTACTTTTAGTCCTTCGATATATCCTGGCTTGTCTTTATATTCACTCCCTCTTAAGCCATTATTTGCATCTACTTTTAATCCTAAGAGGCATTCTTTCTATTCTCATTAAGTCCTTCAAAGACTAAAAGTCTCTATATTTAGGCTTCCCATTATACCCACACGCCAGTCTTTGCATCCACTCTGAAGGAACGCTCTTTCTTACTGCATTTTTTCGTAAGGAACACTCTTTCTAACCGCTCTATCTGCATTTAATCCTGTAGGAGACACTCTAACTGCATTTAATCCTGAGTGACTCTCTAAACGTATTTCATCCTGAGAGACATTAACCGCATTTAATCCTTAACCCATTCGCCCCGGATTTACGCCCTGTCCCCTGTAGTTTTTGGTGAATTTTGTTACATACAGATGGCTCCACATGTACTCAGCCGGCAAGGAGTCTATCAGGAGGCCCTAGTTACCGACCCTGATTTTCCCATTCATTGAATTGGCGGGAAAATTAATACCATTGCTGGCGATACTGTTATTATAGTTATTGGTGTTATGATTATTAAATTGTCCTTAGAATATTTTAGACAATAAAATGATACAAAAAAAAAAAAAAATCCAAAAGTGAAGGAAAAAGGTAAACAGGTGAAATAGGCAGTTCTCGATAACAGGCTATTTGGTGATTAAGAACTTGTGGAGCAATCTATATGTAAATGTAAATGTAATATGTAAATACAATAAATAAACGTGTATCAAAGTGGGTATGGCATCTATTCTTGCCATGTGGGGCGAATGGGTTTAAGAGACTCTTACTGCATTTAATCCTGAGAGACATTCTAACCGAATTTAATAATTGAGAGACACTCTAACCGCATTTAATCCTTAAGAGACACATTCTCTACCTAGGCATGTGTTTCGACACGGGCCAAGAGTTCACGTCGCGTTATGAATAACAGTCACCTTGCCAAGAATTGACAGTTTGACGTGACAGGTCGAGTGGGAGGGAAGCTCACCTGCCAGCCCTAGGTAGGCCTAAGGACGCGGGTGGATATAGATGCGTCAGAATTGATAAGTATTTGCATTTGTCTATTTATTTATCTTTTTTTTCTGTTGCTGTTTTCGTTCTCATGACTGTTGCTAGTGGTGTTAATAGCATTGTCGAGGCTATTACTATTGCCATTGTCATTATTACTACTTTTATCATTATATCATCATCATTATTACTATTATCATTACCATTATCATCAAAATGATGACTATTGTAATCATTATCATCACTATTACTATCATTGCCATTATCATTATCGTTACGACTACCATACTATTATCACCAAATCATTTATATATAATTATTACCTTATTATCATCAAAGTTATCCTTAGGGTCACTGTGATGATGATTATTATTGCCATTAAGGATAATCTTAATTACTATTGTGATTATTATCATCATTCCTGATAATGATGATTATTATTACCATTGCTGCTACTCTAATCATCTCCATAATCATGTTATTATCATTATAATTATAACGATAATATAATAGTAATTAAGATTATCCATAATGGCAATAATGACTAATAATTATAATCCTTAGTCATTTTATATCATGACAATGGTGGATCGTATATATAATTATACTTAACAATTTATTCATCCATCTGTCAGTCAATCTATTTATATACCTATCTACTTATCAATCAATCTAATTATATAATTATCTATCTAACAATGAATTTTATTATATACCTGTCTATCAATCAATTTAATTATAATCTATCTATCTATCGGTATGTATCTATCGACCATTCTATCTATTAATCGATCATTCTATCTATCTATCGACCATTCTATCTATCAATTGATTATTCCATCTGTCAATCGATCTTTACCATTCGTTTGTGGAAAAAAGTACTGCTAAATGCAACTTTCTACTGCTGCTAGTAACACAATAAACTTTCTCTCTCTCTCTCTCTCTTTCTCTTCCTCTCCCTCTCTCTCTACCTTTCTCTCTCCCTCTCCCTCTCTCTCTACCTTTCTCTCTCCCTCTCCCTCTCCCTCTCCCTCTCCCTCTCTCTCTCTCTCTCTCTCTCCCTCTCCATCTCCCTCTCTCGCTCTTTCTCTCAATCTCTATCTCTATCTCTATCTCTATCTCTATCTCTATCTCTATCTCTATCTCTATCTCTCTCACTCACTCACTCACTCACTCACTCACTCACTCACTCACTCACTCACTCACTCACTCACTCACTCACTCACTCACTCTCTCTCTCTCTCTCTCACACACACACACACACACACACACACACACACACACACACACACACACACACACACACACACACACACACACATGATAAACACAACAGTAATAACAACAGCAAATTTAACAATACAACCTCAAAAAACAGCTATAAAAAACAGGTAAAATGGCAACGAATATTTGCGCGACGCCATTTCGCAAGGGAGAATTAACACTTTCTCAAACCACATACTTCAAAATCCATAAATCCCACAACGGCACGCAAGTATGAAGCCATTATGACCTTCCAAGATAGTCAAACGGGCGTCTTCGCTCGCTCGCTCGCTCGCTCTCTCTCTCTCTCTCGCTCTTGAACTAGAGAGAGAGAGAGAGAGAGAGAGAGAGAGAGAGAGAGAGAGAGAGAGAGAGAGAGAGAGAGAGAGAGAGAGAGAGAGAGGGGAGGGAGGGAGGGAGGGAGGGAGGGAGGGAGAGAGAGAGAGAGAGAGAGAGAGAGAGAGAGAGAGAGAGAGAGAGAGAGAGAGAGAGAGAGAGAGAGAGAGGAGAGAGAGGAGAGAGAGGACAGAGGACAGAGGACAGAGGACAGAGGACAGAGGACAGAGAGAACAGAGAACAGAGAACATAGAGAACAGAGAGAACAGAGAGACAGACAGAGAACAATTAGAACAAAAACAATTACAAGCGACAACGAACGCGACAAGCAAAACTCTAAATACATCTCAATAATATACAGACATTTTGTCAGGAAAAAAAGGAAAAAAACAACATGCAGCTCATGACAAGAACGAAAAAAATAACGCTATCAAATTAATTAAATCTTACTTATTTTGCATTCAATCTTCTCGACTTCCTTTCTCAATTTAGTATTACATAATTTAATTATTACATTACATTATTTATCTATTTGTCATTATCATTATTATCTTTTTTTATGAAACCATTGCTCATATGCGATCTATCCTGTATCTGACCCATTAAATTATGATTTCCATATAATTTCCTTTATTCTTTTACACTCTACTAATTTTTTGTCATTGTACATTTTTTTTACGTATTAATTTATTCACACTTTTACTATTTAAAGATAGACTTACCGAGCATCCGCACAAGGAGGCCATTTTGAGACGTCCTGTCCAAAGCCACGCCCCCTTCGCGTCTCTGTGAAAGAAAACGAAAGAAAATTAGCATGAAAAAGGAAAATGAGAAATGGTTTTGAACGTCAAAGCAGAAAACAACACCATAAAGATTTGGAGATAATGATAACATTTGTTATCATTATTATCATCATTCTTATTTCTGTCACTGAAGGAGAGAGAGAGATAGAGAGAGAGAGAGAGAGAGAGAGAGAGAGAGAGAGAGAGAGAGAGAGAGAGGGAGGGAGGGAGGGAGGGAGGGAGAGAGAGAGAGAGAGAGAGAGAGAGAGAGAGAGAGAGAGAGAGGGAGAGGGAGAGGGAGAGGGAGAGGGAGAGGGAGAGGGAGAGGGAGAGAGAGAGAGAGGGAGAGGGAGAGGGAGAGGGAGAGGGAGAGAGAGGAGGAGGGAGGGGGAGGGAAAGGGGGAGGGAGGGGGGAGAGATAGAGAGATAGAAAAAGGAAGAGAGAGAGAGAGAGAGAGAGAGAGAGAGAGAGAGAGAGAGAGAGAGAGAGAGAGAGAGAGAGAGAGAGAGAGAGAGAGAGAGAGAGAGAACGATAGAAAGAAAAAAGAAACAGAGAGAGAGAGCGACAGAAAGAGAGAAAGCGATAGAGAGAAAGAAAGAAAGCGATAGAAAGAAAAAGAGAAAGAGTTAAAAGAAGAGCAAAGAAAAAAGAGAAAAGGATAAAAAGAATATAGAGAGAAAAAAAGAGAAAGAGAGAAAGAAACAGATAACGTATGCACACACACATACACACACGCACACGTATGCATGCAATGAAACAAACATTATTAACAATATCATTAATGGCCCCACCATGATTGCAATAACAATGACATCGCGGCAAAAGCAAGAGAAATGGACACGTGGGGGCTACGTATCCTCTCAGAGAAAAACACGTAGACACACAAAGCTTATAAACGTATAAAAGTTCTCTCTCTCTCTTACGCAAGAACCCGATTTATCCAGATACGAATATTAAACAGTATACTTAAACGCGCTATAAAGACCAATTTCATATAGACGATGACGATGAGATTTTGGATAAAATAAGAAAAAAAAAACGAGGGTTATTTTTAGAAGTCTGGTTGTTGTTTGTATGGAGTTCTGGGGAGTGAGTGAGTGAGTGAGTGAGTGTGTGTGTGAGAGAGTGAGTGAGTGTGTGTGTGTGTGAGAGAGTGAGTGAGTGTGTGTGTGTGTGAGAGAGTGAGTGAGTGTGTGTGTGTGTGAGAGAGTGAGTGAGTGTGTGTGTGTGTGAGAGAGTGAGTGAGTGTGTGTGTGTGAGAGTGAGTGAGTGTGTGAGTGTGTGAGTGAGTGTGTGAGTGTGTGAGTGAGTGAGTGTGTGAGTGTGTGAGTGAGTGTGTGAGTGAGTGTGTGTGTGAGAGTGAGTGAGTGTGTGAGTGAGTGTGTGAGTGAGTGAGTGAGTGAGTGTGTGAGTGAGTGAGTGTGTGAGTGAGTGAGTGTGTGAGTGAGTGAGTGTGTGAGTGAGTGTGTGAGTGAGTGAGTGTGTGTGTGAGAGTGAGTGAGTGTGTGTGTGAGTGAGTGTGTGAGTGTCTGAGTGAGTGAGTGTGTGAGTGAGTGTGTGAGTGAGTGAGTGTGTGAGTGAGTGTGTGAGTGAGTGAGTGAGTGTGTGAGTGAGTGAGTGAGTGTGTGAGTGAGTGAGTGTGTGAGTGAGTGTGTGAGTGAGTGAGTGAGTGTGTGAGTGAGTGTGTGAGTGAGTGAGTGTGTGAGTGAGTGAGTGTGTGAGTGAGTGTGTGAGTGAATGAGTGAGTGAGTGAGTGAGTGAGTGAGTGAGTGAGTGAATGAGTGAGTGTGTGTGTGTGTGTGTGTGCGTGAGTGTGTGTGTGTGTGTGTGTGTGTGTGTGTGTGTGTGTGTGTGTGTGTGTGTGTGTGTGAGTGAGTGAGTGAGTGAGTGAGTGAGTGAGTGAGTGAGTGAGTGAGTGTGTGCGAGTTCTGAGTGAATGAGTGAGTGAGTGACTGACTGACTATGAGAGAGAGAGAGAGTGCGTGCGTACGTGACTGACTGAACTATCCGCCAGGCCGCCCCAGGGGAAGGGAGGGGAAGGGAGGGGAAGGGAGGGGCCAGCCACTCGGACCACACGCATTTTCATAATCAATTAACGAGTCATGATAGATTACCGAAAGACAACCATCAGCAGGAAGGGAAGAGAGTGAAGGAGGGAAGAGAGAGAAGGAGGGAAGAGAGAGGAGGAGGGAGGAGAGAGGAGGAGGAGGGAAGGGGAAAGAAGGGAGGGGAATGGAAGGAAAAGGAAGGGAAGGGAAGGGGAGGGAAGGGGAAAGAAGGGAAGGAAGGGGAGGGAGGAAGGGAAAGAAGGAAGGAAGGGGAAAGAAGGGAAAGGGAGGGAATGGAAGGGAAGGGAAGGGGAGGGGAGGTAAGGGAAGAGAGAGGAGGAGGGAAGGGAAGAGGGAGAAGAGAGGGAGGGAGGGAAGGAAGAGAGAGAAGGAGGGAGGGGGAGGGGGAGGGAGGGGGAGGGAGAAGGAGGGAGGCAGGGAGGGAAGTTGGAGGGGAGAAGAAAGAGAGATGGGGGGAAGGAGGGAAGTCGGAGGGGAGGGGAAAGAGAGGAGGAAGGAGAGAGAGAAGGAAGAGGGAGAGGTAGGGGGTAGGAACGGGGGAGAGAAGGGGAGGTAGAGGACGGGAGTGGAGGGAAGGGGAGTGAGACTGGGAGGAAGGGAAGGGCGGAGAGAGGGAGAGGTGAAAAACAAACAATGAAAGAGAGAAGAGAGAGAGAGAGAGAGAGAGTGAAAAAAAAGAGAGAAAAGAGAGAAAATGAAAGAAAGAGAGACAGAGAATATAATTAAACGACGCCATCCAAGGCAGACAGACAGAAAATACGACCAACCCCCTCCTCCCCTTACCCCCCCCCAAGCGACGGGGGCACGTGCGAGGGTGATGCCCCATGAGAGGAGAGCATCCACAAGGGCAGGAGTAGCAGGAGGGGTATGAGGGTATGAGGGGGAAGTGAGGGGTATGAGGATATGAGGGGAGGGGTGAGGGGTATGAGGGGGGAGTGAGGGGTATGAGGTATGAGGGGGGGTGAGGGGTATGAGAGTATGAGGGGGAGGTGAGGGGTATGAGGGGGGAGTGAGGGGTATGAGGTATGAGGGGGGTGAGGGGTATGAGGGTATGAGGGGGAAGTGAGGGATATGAGGATATGAGGAGAGGTTAGGGGCATGAGGATATGAGGGGGAGGGCATGTGGCCATGTGGGGAGAGGTATGAAAGTATGAGGAGGAGGCAAGGGGCATGAGGGGAGGGGTATCAAAGAGGGCCATGAGGGGAAGGTAAGGGCCATGAGGACGGGAGAGCTATGAGGGCATGAGCGGCATGAGGAACAAAAAGGTTTCGGGCTATTTAGGGCATGAGAGCCGGAGAATCATGAGGGACATGAAGTCAGAAGGCCATGAGGGACATGAGCGTGAGAGGGGCATGAGGAACATGAGAGCGAGAAGGGCATAAGGAACATGAGAGCGAGAGGGGCATGAGGAACATGAGAGCGAGAGGGGCATAAGGAACATGAGAGCGAGAAGGGCATAAGGAACATGAGAGCGAGAAGGGCATGAGGAACATGAGAGCGAGAAGGCCATGAGGAACATGAGAGCGAGAGGGGCATGAGGAACATGAGAGCGAGAGGGGCATAAGGAACATGAGAGCGAGAAGGGCATAAGGAACATGAGAGCGAGAGGGGGCATAAAGAAGACACGAGAGGCATAGCGAATGTGAGGGCACGTGAAGCATCATGGCCATAACACATATGAGGAAACGGAGCATGGGGCATGAAAGACAATTGACCCTGCCTAATACGTGGGGCATTTGAAGGGCATGTGAGGGGCAAGGGGGGGGGGGTAAATGAAACATATGTGAGGGCCATGAGGGGCAAGTGAGGGGTATGTGGCAGGCATGAGGGGTATGAGGGGCGCCCAGACCAACATAGAGGGAAGAGAGAGAGAGAGAGAGAGAGAGAGAGAGAGAGAGAGAGAGAGAGAGGGAGGGAGGGAGGGAGGGAGGGAGGGAGGGGAGGGAGGGAGGGAGGGAGGGAGGGAGGGAGGGAGAGAGGGAGAGGAGGGAGAGAACGAGAGAGAGAGAGAGAGAGAGAGAGAGAGAGAGAGAGAGAGAGAGAGAGAGAGGGAGAGGGAGAGGGAGAGGGAGAGGGAGAGGGGAGAGGGAGAGGGAGAAGAGAGAGAGAGACAGAGGAAGAGAGAGAGAGAGAGGGGAAGAGAGAGAGAGAGAGGAGAGAGAGAGAGAGAGAGAGAGAGAGAGAGAGAGAGAGAGAGAGAGAGAGAGAGAGAGAGAGAGAGAGCGAGGCTTCCCCGGGGCGCAGAGCAGGGGCCTCTCTCTCTTTAACGAAATAATGGACGGCCCGACACCGCGGCGCCGCTCCTGCCCGCCGGCCGGAGGGAGATTAGGCTTAGGGTGCGTGTGTGTGCGTGTGCGTGTGTGTGTGCGTGTGCGTGTGCGTGTGCGTGTGCGTGTGCGTGTGCGCGCGTGTGTGTGTGTGTGTGTGTGTGTGTGTGTGTGTGTGTTGTGTGTGTGTGTGTGGTGTGTGTGTGTGTGTGGTGTGTGGTGTGTGTCGGTGTGTTGTGGTGCGGCGAGTGTGCATGTGCGTGTGTGTCATGTGCGTGTGTACGTACGTGCTTGGGTGTGTACGTAGATGCTTGGGCGCGTACTTATCCCACATGACG